TTCCTCTTCCTCACAAAACTGCCTAACAAAAGGCTACATTTAAAAAACATGAACTTCTGTGTTCATGTAAGTGTATTCAACCGCCCTCTCTTTTCTCTCTCTTCAGCCTTTTGGCCTTATGTGCATCCAGTTGGCTTGTTACCACGGAGTGAAGGTTCTCACAACCTCACACTCACCACAGAAACACACTTTCTTGCAGCAGCTCCGGCCAAGTATAGGTCTGTACACACTGATGTTACATCTGTAGACCATGTTTTCAGACTTTGTAAAGCACGTAAATCTCACACCCACCCAGCAAAAATGCTCAGGATTACCAGTGCACTCTCTATCAGCTCCTCCTGCATCACTTCATCCTTCCCTCAGTGTTTACAGATTTCTGGCAGTTATTTCATGCAGAACTGTGTTTTTATTCCTTCCAACCTTTTTATCATTGCTTCTTCTTCCTCTGTTCATACCTTCGTATTTTCCACAGATGTTCAGGATCCTTTAGTAGGTGAGGTCTTTTCTTTCCGTCTTTCTGACTAGCATTCTAGCTTCTTTGCTGGTTTTCTAATTCCTACAGTTAATAGTGGTTACACGATGATAGTGTATAGATAATTGTCAGTTAATTTCAGTTGTATTTGTAAAATGTATTTACATTTTTATTGCAGTTTATATTACTATAGAGTAACGGCAAGATTAGACCTAGTTATTTTATCATCCTGTGTAAAAGGTAGATTGAATGAAAAATGTCAACCTGCTGCCTCCATGTGGATAATATTAAAAACTGCAAACACTGCAACTTATTGAGCTTGTGTTAAAATATTTGGTATATTTAGGAGAAGATCTGTAAACTGGTTTAAATATATTACAGATCAGAATGAGTGGTTATGTCATGTTGCTGTACCTTTATGTATGAAGCCAGGGTCATTCCAGTGGATAACGGCTCATCAGACCTGCTGCCAGTGGTTATGGAGGAGACAGGGGGACTGGGAGTGGATATAGTCATAGATTCTGGAGGTAAAAGCATTCACACTGTTTATACCGATGAACATGTGAGGGTGAATATAAAAATGGAAGGGCTCTAAGATGTCAAAATTCAACCTGAGAACATTTCTCTGTGTGTGTAGTGCGTCTGCAGGAAGAGGAGGAGTCTGAGGAGGCAAAGCTCCTCCCACATAAACATGACATCATCAGTGTGCTGGGGGTCGGGGGGCACTGGGTCACATCCCACCAAGACCTGCAAGTGAGTCTGTATTGGAGACACAGCAGTGATTACTTCATAGTGACTTTATCATCCCTCTGCTTCCTAAATTTCAATTTTAACAGACAAACACATCATCTCTGTGTGTCTTTGAATTTTTGCAGTTGGATCCTCCAGATTGCAGATTATTGTTTTTAAAATCAGCCTCTGTGTCTTTCCTCAACCCTGAAGTGTGGACAGCTTCATCAGCTCAGCAAGGAAGATACCTTCGTATCCTGTGATTATAGTGTGTGATTTTAAAACCTATGCACATCAGCACACAACACTCCTTTAAAGTCTGTGTGAGTCTTTAACAGAACTGTGCAGATATTCTGAAGGATGTTGTGGAAAAGATGTCAGCTGGAGTGCTCAGGTAATCCTACGTGTAGATACTGGCATCAAGTTCTTCAATAAGTTATCAATTTGAAATTTTATATTTAAAAATACTTTTTAATTTTAGTGCCCCCAAATTTGAGACTTAACACAGTTGAGTTTATAGTTAACATGTGTAAACATTTGTCACTATAGATATTTTGACTTGTCTTAGTCATGTTAGCACCACCACAACTGGAGGCCTAATCAAATCCAGTCTGTCTGTCTGGCTCCAATCTGTCCCTCCAGACCTGAGCCCGAAGAGGCGGTACCTCGCTACGAAGCCACAGTTGCCATGGAGACTGTCCAGCTTCACCAGAAGAAAAAGGCTGTTGTCCAACTTTGATCAAAATAACCACACTCCGTTGGGATGCTCACACAGCCTGCATCTGAGGAACACATGGGGTGTGTCCGAAATCACTCCCTACTCACTGTAGAATCCACTGTAGTGTGTGTTCGCCATATTGTAGTGGTGTCCGAACACTAAGTGTGTAAATCTATCCGCTGCATAGTGCACTGAAAAATTCCACAATGGAACGTATAAAAGTAGTGCACGTGCCATGTACACTACCTTCTGCTAACAATCCCACAATGCAATGCTTTTATTAGATGAGAAATTATCGTCACACGGCTCTACAGCTGTTAGTGATGACACAAATGCTGATAAGTGTGTGAAATCTTAATTTTCTGTTCACTACTGGTTGAACTACTTGGTGTACATTACGTAGGGAGCAGCGAACGAGTGAGGTGGGAGTGACTTCAGACACAGCGATGAACCTACCGCCTTTCCATTACTGGACAAACACTGAAAAACTAAAAAAAAACTGATAGCGAGTTTCTTATAAGGAGTTGCTTTTGTTTTTAATACAGTTTGATGTAATTCATCCACATTACAATATAAACAGAAGCTGCAATTTATGCTGCTGCCATAAAAAGTGTCTTCTGAACTTTGTAACAACTTGAACCTCAAACAAAATCCAACTTCATAATAGAAATGACCAAGAACAGGGCGACAGTGGGTAGAGCAGCCGTCTCCCAACCGGAAGGTTGAAGGTTCGAATCTCGGTGCCTGCAGTCCACATGTCGAAGTGATGGCGGCGCATACGCAAGCAGCGGCCTGGGGCCCTCGGCTCCAAACAAAATTTTGTTGTATGTGTCACAATGACAATAAAATAAAGCTTCTTAAAATTATTGTACTGTGACAATTAATCAGAAAATAAAACATGACAGAGCTGAAAATTCTTCTCTTCAAGAAATGCATTGGTCTTTCTGATAGATCTGCCTCTGCATTTTTTTATACAGTATTGTTATTGTACTGTATGTCTGACCTTTATTTAGCTCAATTAATGGTGGTGATGGCGAGAGCCTCACTGTCTCGCTTAGGGGTATTACAAGGTAGGTAGGACTTCATTAATCCCACAATGGGGAAATTCCTGTGTTCCAGCAGCAACATAACACCATAAGAACAAACACCACACACATATTTTAAGAAACAAATTCCAAAGTACCTAAAACCAAATAGAATATAGTATTTGAGAGACAATCAAGTACAAGAATGATCCTGCCACAATTAATCCCTGAGAACAAATCAAAAATACCTTAAAATAAGACAAGATATAGTATTCAAGAGATCAAGAAATCAAGGACAAGAATATTACTCCCAT